AAAAAAAAAAGACGCCGTTGCTCTCACTGCCAGGGTGGGGCACATGCCCTGCGTGGGGTCTGGAGTTGGGTCCGCCTCCTCCCTCTGCACGGGCAGACGGAGGCCTGGTCGGCGGGAGTCGGGGCGATTCCGCCAGAGAGGGGCTCGGGCTCGGCGGTTCCAGAGAGCAGCTGCCGCCGAGGCGTCCCGGGAGAAAGGCCCGTCCCAGCCCGGGCGGGGGCGCCCCGGCCCCTCCGCTCACGCATCCAGCCTGGTTCGTCGAGCCGGTTTCAGCGCGTGTGTCCGGTTGCCTGTCTCGGCGCCGGTGCGGATGGGACGTTGAGTGAGGAGGGACGTGCCAGCCGGGGGGCAGAACACGGGGCGCTGCCAGAGCCGCGCGGCATTTCCCCAGCACTCGGTGCAGCGGTCCCGAAGCCGGAGAAGGGCGCCTGAAAATAAAGCGAGACATTGTTAGCGCTTCACAGCCAAGCAGTTCGAAACAAACAGTGGATTTAAAAGGGAACGATGTGTTTGAAATAGATGTGTGTGTGCATGCGAGTGTGCGTGCGTGAGGGTGTGTGCATGTGTGTGCATGCGTGTAGGTGTGCATCTGCGTGCATGCGTGCGTGTGCGCTTGTGGAGACCCTCAGGCCTTCTCTCTCCTCCCCGGTGCCCCTCCTTGCTGTGACTGATAACCCCAAGGCAGAGGGCTGAAGTCATGATGCCCAGCTTATTAAAAGGCTTTTATTGAGCTCAGAATAATTGCATTTGTCTTTAAAAGCATCTAACTCGATCGAGCGAGTGAGTCTGAAGTGATGCTGCGTCCAGGGCATTAGACCCCTGCCGGCTCGTGCCGGCGGGGAAAGGCCAAGAGACTGAACCAGGGTCCTGGTCTGGATTCACGGCCTCCTGCCTGCGCTTCCGACAGTAACCCGGCAGACGGCACGGGGACACCCACGCCCAGGTTCCCCAGGGCGCTCTTTGGTCTGCAGGCCCAGCGGCCAGCCAGGAGCGCCGGGTCCTGTGGTCGGAATCATCCCTCGAGTCCGTGCAGTGAGTGAGGGGCAGCTCCTGGCTACCAGCAGTCACTCCTTGGGCCCCACCTCGCGCATTTGCTGCCGTCCCCTCCCACAGACGCCGCTTGTGCCTGGGTCTCCGCTTCAGGTGTGCTTCCCGCGTCCCAGACCAGACAGACACAGCATAAAGCAGGGGGTCCGGCGACCAGGGACAAGAGTGCCTCAGAAGCAGAGTTCTCATGCAGAGAGAGGGTCCTGTGTCTGTCGGAGTGCCTGCAGCCATGTCCACCCAGGTGCAGATCTGCATATACATGTATACAGGTATGTGTGTTCACATGTGTGCATGCAAACGTATAGGTGCACATGCTGAATGGTTGTGGTACACGTGTGTGCATATACACTGTGTGTTTGGGCACGTGCACATGTACGTGTATCTGCATGTATTTGAATGTATATATGTGTTTGCGTGTGTGTCTCTGTACATATATGGGCAGACACACTAATGTAAAGAGCCAGCACCAGGGGCCTCATACCCCCACTATGTTCCCAGTAGGCGTTGCTGCTGGTTCCGTCACAGGGGTCCCACTGAGAAGGAAAGGGGTTACAGAAGCACGGGCAAAAGCATCCCGGGGTTCCTGGGCCCAGTTCACAATGCGGGTCCCCTTTGCCTCTTCTGGGCACAGAGGTCAGAACCTTATGTGTCCAGGTGCTACAAGAGCCTTTGGGTTTTTGTTGTTGTTGTTTTTCTTTTGGGTCACACCCGGGGATGCACAGGGGTTCCTCCTGGCTCTGCACTCAGGAATTACCCCTGGTGGTGCTCAGGGGACCCTATGGGATGCTGGGAATCGAACCCGGATCGGCCGCGTGCCAGGCAAACGCCCTGCCCGCTGTGCTATTGCTCCTGCCCAAGAGCCTTTGAAAATATGTGAGTTCCCAAACGTGGCAGCCGGGGACCAGTCAACCAATGTTCAGCCAAACGCCGGGAAACCAGACATTATGTCGGGTTCATTCATTGTCCCGTTTAGTCATATACAAATCTCACCATGTTTGTAAAGGGAAGGTGGGTGACATCTTCCCGTTCTGCAAAAACCGCCAAGAATGCTGGTCGATTGCAGAGAAATTACGGGGAATTGAATGAAACGACTTTCCTGTAGGCACATACTTTGGAAGTTGAACAATCAGAAAAGTCTCCCAGTGATCAAAAATGAAACTTAGACGTTAACTGGGGTGGGGAGGGGCTGCCACTTCCGGTCCCACCCAGCCACAGGGTCCCCCTCTCCCGTGCTCTCCAGCCTCCGCAATGACGGTCCCCCTGCCCCAGGAACCAAGGCTGCTCGGCCTCTCTGGCACCCCTGCCTGCCCGTGAGCAGGAGTGTGGGGGGCTGGACTCCCCAGGTCGCCTGGGTAGACCCTCCACTGAGCACTGCGACCTTTCCTGCGTGGGGGTACAAAGCGGAACCAGAGACGACCGAGGGGGGCTCCCCTTGACCCACTCCCGCCTCCGGGGATCCAGGAGGTTCAAGGATGATTCGAGTTAAGCCCTGAGCACCATGGGGGAGGAGCACGGGAAAGGGGCGGGGCACTGCGAGAAGGGGCGGGGCATCGAGGGGTGGGCGGGGCATCGCGAAAAGGGCCAGAGCATCGTGGGGCGGGGCATCACAGAAAGGGGCGGGGCGTTGCGAGAGGGGTGGGGCATCACGGAAAGGGGCAGGGCGTTGCCAGAGGGGGGGGCTTCGCGGGAAGAGGCGGGGCATCACGTGGAGGGCGGGGCATCGAGGGGGTGGGCGGGGCATCATGTGGGGGCAGGGCATCGTGAAAAGGGCCAGAGCGTCGCGGGGAGGGGCATCACAGAAAGGGGCGGGGCGTTGCGAGAGGGGCGGGGCATCACGGAAAGGGGCAAGGCGTTGCGAGAGGGGCGGGGCATCACGGAAAGGGGCAAGGCGTTGCGAGAGGGGCGGGGCATCACGTGGAGGGCGGGGCATCGCGAAAGGGGGCGGGGCGCCACGATGGGCGGGGCTCTCGGGAGGGGCGGGGCCGTGCAGGGGCCGTCCAGGTCCTGCAGAGTCAGAGCTTGGCCTCCCTTCCTGGTCCTCCACCCTCGGTGCCTCCGCCTCAGACAGGCCTGCCGCTGGGTCTCTGACCTTTGCTCGGCCCCCTCCCGTGAGCGCCCAGGAAGTGCCCGCAGCCGCAGCCTGCCTTGTGCTGGGGGGTCGGATCTTGCCAAAGGATGTGCAGCAAAACTCTCCCTTTTGGAGGAGAGAAACGCTGAGGCAGGGCCGCAGGAACGTGCAATTATCTCCTGGCTGGGGCGGGGACTTCTGACCGTTTCCAGAAAGTCTCCCCGGGAGAAGGAGCGTGCTCCAGAGCCTGCCGGCCGGGCCGGGCTGTACCGGGCTGCTGATGGCTCATCCTCATAAAAGGTCTGGTCGTATCTGACCCGTATCAGGAGGGAAGACAGGCCACGTTCTCTTGTGAAGGGGGACGGGGCCCTTCATTCCTCCAACAGGGACGGGGACAGCAAGTGTGGGGACAGCCCTCGAGCTCAGCTCTGATCAGCGAGAGCACCGGCCCCTTGCACCTTCCTGGAGGCGCAAGACAGGCCCAGGGTGGCAGGCGTCTCCGGCCACCCTCCTTTCCCTGTCTGACAGTGGGAAGGTCCGTCCGGGAGACCACAGAAGGGTCTGAGTGTGCGATTTGCAGGTGTTCCTCAAGGGAAGACTCCTCCTCCTCCTCCCTTTCCCCGTAGTCCTCCTGCTGGGCGGGATGCAGACGTGATGGCTGGAGCGTGAGCAGCCACCACGACCTGCGGATGGGGCACAGACGGCTCAAGAGCAGGCTAGCAAGGGCCACTCTGGGCCCCACCGGCTCCCCAGACGACAACGAGAAGCATCTGTGACGTGTGAGCCACTGATCTGTGAGTTAAAGGCGACCTGTCTCGTCAGAAGTGCCCGACTTTTGGTAGAACTACGAGAATGTGCAGTGTTTCGGGGGAGACCACCCCAACCCTGTGATGAGAAGCTGTCGCAGTTGCAGAACCCGGAACGCCACACCAGGCACCGGAGGGGCGGCCGCCTCCCTTCCCCCGCTCTCTCCTGCCCTCGTGACGGCCGTTCTGCTGGAAGGGGCATCCCATGCATTGCAGCCCCCGCGTGGCCTCAGACTGGCGTGCTCTGGGCATCCGGGTGCGGAGGAGGGCGGGCACACGGGCACAGGAAGGGGGTCAGCCAGACACTGCCCAGCCACGGGGACCAGCTCCCCTGCCAAAGCACAGGTCCTTCTAGAGACAGCACTGAGGGGCTGGAGCAATAGCACAGCGGGTAGGTGTTTGCCTTGCACGCGGCCAACCCGGGTTCGATCCCCGGCATCCCATAGGGTCCCCCGGGCACTGCCAGGAGTAATTCCCGAGTGCAGAGCCAGGAGTCACCCCTGAGCATCGCCAGCTGTGACCCAAAAAGCGAAAGAAAGAAAGAAAGAAAGAAAGAAAGAAAGAAAGAGAGAGAAGCAACATTGAGCGCCTTCATCGAGAAGGCTGGCCCCTGGGAGCCAGGGGCAGATGGGAACCGGGGTGTCCTGAGGAGGGTGGGCGTCTGGCAGGTCCCCACGACCCCCTCGGGGAGCCCCAGGGAGCCCTGGACCCAGCCCCCGTGAGCAACGGGCACCACCTGGTGGCCGGTGTCCGCACAGCGCCTCCCTGTGCTCTGGAGGCCCAGGACTGGACCAGGAAACTGAATCGCAAGGCTGGGAGGGCCCCCGGGCTGCTCAGGACAGCTCGAGCTCCGAGGGCCACCCATGGCCGGCCGTGTCCAGGCAGGGCTGGGCCCCTGGCCAAGGTCCCCGCCCCACCCTCGCCCCACCTGCAAATCGGTTTTGCTTTCAATTTTGTTTCTCGTGAGTTCATACCAAAGTTTCGCTTTCCCTCCCCCCGCCCACCACCTCAGCGGGTGAGCCCGGCTGGGGAGTGTCCACGGACACTCTCTGTCCAGCAGTCTGGCCCACGGCCGCAGGAAGCCGCTTCCAGCATGGCCCAGGCGCCCACAGCCCCGGAGTCAAACACAGGTACCGGACCCCCAGACGTGGGGGGCAAGAGGTCCGGGAGGGTCTCCCAGTGGAAGGGGCGTGGCCCCTGCTGCCCCGGGTCCCTGGTGTGTCGCAGGGTTGGTGACACTCACTGCTCACACAGGGGCCCTTGGGTGCGGTGATGCGTGGGTCTGAACCCTGTGACTCGGACACATCACGGGGCCCCTGTTCCCGGAGCGTGTTGGGGCTCAGGGACCCCAGGGCCAGGCTGGGCTGTTCTGTCCGGGGGTGGGGGGGGGGCTGTGCACGGAGAGACAGAGGCACAGGGCGGCCAGGAGGGGTCAGGCTGGGGACAGACGAGGGTGTGGCGGGTGGGCCCCTGTCTCCAGGCCCTGCTGTAGGTCCTGGGGGAGCCACTGCCCCCTCCTTGGCTGCAGCTCAGCCTCCTGCTTGGCCTGGGACCCCCAGCCCCCATTTCTCTGCCCCAGGGGTGCTGGGGGGTGGTGCTTCCCCCAGACTAGGACGAGGGCTGCGCGTGCCTCGAAGGGTCCTCGGCTGAGGCGGTGGGTGGGGGGGTGTGGGGATGCCCCTGGGAGCCCCCCTGTGCTCCCGCCACCCTATGTCCCCCCAGGGAGCACGTCCCGCCCCCGGGGCTGGCCTGCACTCCCCTGAACCAGGGAGTCTCCAGCCAAAAGGCGGGTCTGGGCAGAGGGAGGGGCGGGGGAGGGGGCTTGCAGGGTTCGAGACGGGGGGGGGGGGGGGGGGGGGGGAAGGCCGGGAGCCAGCAGAGCGTGGGGAGCGGGCAGGGCAGGCAGGTCCTGGCAGAGACGCGACGGGGCAGGGGGTAGGGGGCAGGGTGCCTCACAGAAGGGCCCTGGTGGGGATGGGTACCACCTCCCGCCTCTGTCCAGCCCCAGTGGCCCAGTGCTGTCCCCCACCCCAGCAGAGCCAGGGTGGGGTCAGTGTGGAGCCCCCCAGGCCCCAGGGATTTCTGCCAAGGGTTGTTCAGTGCCAGTTGGTAAACTGAGGCACGGGTGCTGTAGCCGAGCCCTGCCGGGGTCATCTGGGTGCACCCCTGTTCTGGGGGTGCATGGACTCTCACTCCCAGGCCTCTGTGGGTGGGGAGCTTCTCGGGGGGGCACGGGGGAGCCGGTGTGGGGTGGGGCGGAGGCGGGCGATCAGACGCTGGGGTGCGGGAGGGGGTCCAAGGGCTCCATCCAGCTGCCCCCCCTCGTCTGAGGCCCCCCCCCAGCTACAAGGAAGCCCATGCCGGGCCTCAGCCGGGCGGTTCCGTGGCCACCCTGGGGGGCTGGCGCCTGTGCCTCGGCCCCCAGACCCCGACGGTCTCCGCCCCTCTCTCCCAGCCCTCCAGGGGAAGATCCTGCAGGCCCTGCGGGAGGCCGGGACCCCCCTGAAGACGCTGCAGCTCTGCAGACTCTGCCAGGAGCCCAAGAAGACGCTGAACCAGACCCTGTACCGCATGAAGGCCGCGTCCCTAGTCATGCTGGTGGGCCCGGCCACGTGGAGCCTGGCCGAGGGGGGCTCAGGGCCCGGGGGCCCCACCGGGCAGGCTGCATCCGACCAGGGTAATGGACCCCCCCAGCAGGCCCCTCTCGCTGTAACTGGGCAGCCTGGGGGAGGGGAGGCGTGCGCCTGCCAGTGATGGCCAGGGGTCACCACGGGGTGCCATCTCATCCCGTCCCCAGGACAGGAAGCCCGGCCGCAGAGACCTTCGGACCCTCAGCCCGGGGGCCGCCTTGCGCTTCCCCCTCCCGAGGCCACATCCCCGCCCGGCAACGCGCTGGCCCTGCCCCCAGGCCCCGGACCCCTGCTCAGCGCCTCACCCCAGCTCACCGAGGGACTCTCTGACGTTGGTATGTGGGGCGCTGCCTCCGGACCCCGCGGTACCCCCGGGGCAGGGCCCCAACTGCCCGGGGCGTGAGAAGCCCCACAGGCACTCCGGGCTTGTCCAGGGCTGGGATGCGGCTGAGCCCCAGGCTATTTCTGCCCACTGGGGTGACTGGGACGTCCTGTGACCCCCCTCCCAGAGGAAAGAATCTTACGGCTCCTGGACCAGAGGCCCCTGAGGGCCCTGCTGATCGCCCAGGGCCTGGGCTACGCGAGGACCAAGGACGTGAACCCCGTGTTGCACGGCTTGCAAGCCCGGCGCCTCCTCCGCAGGGACCCCGACTCCGGCGTCTGGGCGCTGGACTGGTCAGGTACCCCGTGCTGGCCGGGAGGGCCCCGTGCGTGAGCCCCCCGCACGGGGCCATGTGGCCCTTTCTCCTCGGGGGCAGCAGGACCTGCAGCTGTGGCTTTGGGGGGCCGCGGACCCCTTCGCTTCCTCTTGAGTCAAAGGAAATGACATCAGACAGCAGGAAGTGCCAGCCCCCTCCCCTTGGAGGCCGCACCCCTGCGTGCATGTGGGAGGGGCCGCGAGGAGTCACCCCCACAGCCAGGTGAGGAGTGACCTCACGGGTCAGCTGACACCTGGTCGCAATGCCCAGAGTGATGCCCCCACCCTGCCGTCGTGTCCTCCGGGGGTTCCCCGTGACCCCGTCACATGCTGTGGGACTCCGACTGATCCCTACAAACGTGCCCCAGGAAACGGAGCGCCAGGGGCCGCCACTCTCCTAACGGGGGCCTGGGAGGGGGCAAGGGCTGGGGGTTTTGGGGGGTGGGGGCAGTGGGCGAGGGGACCCGTGAGGTCCCAGATCCCTGATGGCCAAGCACGCGAAGGTGGGGTGCAGAGGCCCCCGACCCCGCGGGCAGTACCCCCCCACGGCGCCGGGGAGGGTCCCGGCCAGCCCCCCGAGGCGTCGGCCGTGCGAGAGGGGTGCTGTTTTGCAGGCGATGCTGGAGGAAGAAGTCAGCCCCACGTGGTCGTTATCCAGAAGCAAACGTTCAACACCATCAACCACTGGGGCCCCAACAACCACATTGTGGTTCAGAACCCGAGGAACATCCAGATTGGGGACGGCACCGTCATGGCCAACGACTCGGCGACGCTGCAGTTCGGTGAGCCGCGCGCCCTTGGAACCACACCTGGATCACGCCTGTCCTGAGTCCCTCGTCCCGTCGCCCCCCCAGGCCTCCTTTCCAAGGGCACCAAGTGAGGAGTGACTCCGGCCTCACCCCACACAGGGCGTCACAGGGGCTCGCCGTAGATGCACTTCTTGGGCCCACTTTTTTTTTTTTGGCTTTTTGGGTCACACCCGGCGATGCTCAGGGTTTCCTGCTGGCTCTGCACTCGGGAATCACTCCTGGCAGTGCTCAGGGAACCCTATGGGATGCTGGGAATCAAACCCGGGTCGGCCGCGTGCAAGGCAAACGCCCTCCCCGCCGCGCTGTCGCTCCAGCCCCTGGTCCCACTTCTTGCCGCTCAGAAACAGCTTTTTCCCTGGCGCCCCTTTCGGGGCAGGACACCCCCAGCAGGGCCACCTTGCACTGTGCTGACAGTGAACGGGTCACTGACCGTCCGGCCCCAAGCCAGACAATCAATCCCTGGGACTCTCAGAGAGCCTCAGTCTCCCCAACAGGGAAGCCAGGAACTTTGCCCGCAGGCTGGGCCTTTCGTCCACCGGGAAGGCCTGGCCGCCCGTCACCTCCCGCAGGCGCCTGCCCTCACCTGGCCACACCCCGGGGGAGGGTGGGGCACCCATCAGTACTGCAGTCTGTGTCCATCACGGCGCCTCTGTGAGCTGACCACAAGCCCGTGAGACCCCAGGCTCAGCCCTGGCACGGCATGGTCCCGGGGCCCCCCAGCCCTGAGCACTGCTGGAGGAGCCTGCACACACTCTGCAGGGTCTGGGTGGGGCGGAGACCAGCTGCTGTGCCCCTCCGTCCTCCCGTCCCCTCCCGCCCTGCCTCTGTCTGGAGCCGGCTGTGCTCCCGTGCGGGGGGCCGACCTGCCGAGCCACACAAGCTCGCTGGGGGTGTGGCCGGGCACCCCCACACCCCTGACTGTGCCTCCTGCTGCCCCACAGTGTCCAGCGACCCCAGCGACCCCAGTGGCCCCCGTGACCCCAGCGACCCCCGCGACCCCCGCGACCCCAGGGCTCCTTGTGATGTTTCAACACTGGAAAACCAGCCTGAGGAAGACGCAGCCCGGACAGGCCCCACCCCGGGCCCCGTCGAGGACGCGTCCATGGGCCACGCGAGCGGGACGGTCAGCCCAGGGCCAGCCGGGTCCAGGGCAGATGCAGGGACTGGGGACAGCAGGAGGGACCCCCGCCAGCTCAGGGACGCAGGTGAGGCGGCACAGGGCAGCCTGAGACGGTCCCCGCCCTCCGTCTCTCCTCCCTCCCTCCCTCCCTCCCTCCCTTTCTTCCTTCGCCTTCCTTCCCTCCTTCCTTCTGCCCTCCTTCCCCTCCTCCCTCCCTCCCTCTCCTCCTCCCTCCTTCCTTCCTGGGCTGGGGGCAGGCCAGCGTCACCCACTCCTCTCCACCCTCTGCACCTGACCCGCCTGCCTTCGAGGCCTGGTGTCTCCCACGTTTCTGGGGTGGGGACCCCAGCTGGTAGCCAAGCCCCAGTGTCCCCATGCTGAGAGTGGACACACACAGCCCTGTGGGGGGGGGGGGGAGGCAGGCAGGCGCCCGGGCAGCGTCGGTGGGAGGGGCAGAGGGGGCATCTGGATGGGGCCCAGCACAGGGTGGCCGCAGCCCCGTGCCCAGAGTCTGCCCAGAGCCCCCCAGGGTGCCTGAGCTGGGGGCCGGGGCAGCCCCTCAGCGCTGTCTCCCCCCTGGGCCCGTCTCCCCAGCCTCGCGGCCTGAGGACGAGCCCCCGTGCACCCGCCTGGGAGCCATGACGTTGGGAAGCCAGGCGCCAGCGAGAGCCCAGGCCCTGGGCAGTGCCGTCATGCGGGACACGAGCCCCCAGGCCCTGGACTCTGACTTCACGCTGAACACAAGCCCCCGGGCCACGGATGCCCACAGGAGCCCTCGGGCCACGGACGCCGATGTCACACTGGACACCAGCACCAACATCCCTGAGGATGGGGGCTGCTGAGCGACAGACACAGACCCGGGCCGGGGCGGGCGTCAGAGCAGACGTCCGAGCTGGGTTCTCCGTGCCCCACGGATCCCCGGGGGCGGAGGCGGGCCGGGCTGAGGCTCCTGCCTGGCACGCAGCCAACCCTGGTCCAGTCTTGGCACCACCCAGAGTCCCCCAAGCCCTGTTGGGGAACCCTGCCAAACACTGCGTAATGCGCCCCCCGAACAAATAAACAGCGACACCCCCCTGGTGTGCCCCGTGGACCTTCCGCCTCCGGCCGCCCGGCCCGCGGGAGTGAGCGTCTGGGCAGGCTGGTCAGGCAGCATCTGCCGCGACCAGGGGCAGGCCAGGGTGGGCCGCCTGTGGGGCCTCCCCCACCCCCCGGGCTCCATCGGGACCTGAATGCCTCAAGGCCCATCCTGGCCGCCAGAACCTTCTAGAACCTCCCTCCTTCCCAGCCCACCAGGAATTCTTCCCTGAACCGCCCTCCTTCGACCTGTGCGGTCAGCGGCCTGTGCGGGCCGACAAGCAGGGCTGGCTGCGGAGAAGGAGGGGTCAGTCAGCCGGGCAGGCGGGAGGGACAGACCTAGTGACAGACCTAGCGCGTGGGCCTCCCCACGCACACTCAGACTACATGTGTGTGAATGTGTGAGTGTGTGTGTGCGGTTGTGTGAGTGCGAGTGTGTGTGCGTGAGAGTGTGTGTGTGTGCGGTTGTGTGAGTGCGAGTGAGTGTGTGTGCGTGAGTGTGTGTGTGTGCGGTTGTGTGAGTGCGAGTGTGTGTGCGTGAGAGTGTGTGTGTGTGCGGTTGTGTGAGTGCGAGTGAGTGTGTGTGCGTGAGTGTGTGTGTGCGGTTGTGTGAGTGCGAGTGAGTGTGTGTGCGTGAGAGTGTGTGTGTGCGGTTGTGTGAGTGCGAGTGAGTGTGTGTGCGTGAGAGTGTGTGTGTGCGGTTGTGTGAGTGCGAGTGAGTGTGTGTGCGTGGGGGTGGGTCTGGGGTTGGGGCCTGGCTCCCTCCTGGCCCTGCACACAGCCCCCCGAGCGACAGGGGGTCTCGGCCCTGGCAGGCGCCCGTGCTCCCACCCGGCTCCTCCGCCCCCTCCTCCCAGGGGCCTCCGGGACTGCTCAGGCCCTCAGCCCTGTTCCCACGGAGCCGGGCGACCCGCCCGGGGAGTGCGGGGGCCGCCTGAGCCGCGCAGGCCCGGGACCCTCCCACGCGGGACTCGGGCGCGGCGCGGAGCAGGGGCAGGTGCGCTCCAGGTGCGCTCCAGGTGCGTCCGGGCCGGCGCCGCGCTGCGCCGCCCCCTGGCGGCCGCGCTGGGTTGTGCAAGGGCAACGGCCGCCCCGCGCGTCCCGCCGGCGCCGCCGGGCATCGCCTTGCGCCGAGCGCCCTCTGCTGGCCACCGGCCGCTGCAGCGCCCTTGGGCGCGCCCGACCCCGGAGCCCTGCTGGGGCCCGCCCGGCGGTGCCCGTCCCTGGAAAACCCCCAGGGTGGCTGACGGGGCCCGAGGGCACAGCCTTCACCCCGACCAGAGGAGGAAGGCAACTCCTCAGGCCTCACCTGTGCGTGCCTCGGTTTACCCAGGTGGGGTACCTTCCTCTCGGGTGCTTTTCAGGGTGAATCCGAGCCCAGCACGCCGTCAGCCTGATCCCGACCCCAGCCCCACCCGTCCACTCACCCTTGCCCTGACCGCAGGACAGCGGTGCCCATCACACGCCCCTGCTAGCTGGCCACTGCAGACCACAGCATCCGACCCCCCAGAGACCCCCCAACACACCCCACTCCACCCTAGGGCCCGAGACAGCCCACCCCCTGGATCTCACACACATACAGGCACACACAGACACACAGAGTTGCATACAGACACAGACGCACAGTTACACACAGTTACATATACACACAGAGACACACAGAGTTACACACAGACACACAGAGACACAGTTACACTCAGACACACAGTCACACAGACATGCATAGATACAGTCACACACAACCCCGCAGACACAGCCATGCACAGTCACACAGACACAGCAGCCTGGGTCACCCCACAGGAGACAGGTGCTCCCAGGCGGCAGTCCTGGGCCCTGGTAGGGACTGCCACAAGTGGATGTGCGTCCTCACATGCATGTTTCACTCTCTCCGGCCTCGGTTTCCCCTTCTGTAATGTGGGGAACCCCATGGGGAGCCTCACTCAGCTGTGACAGCAGCCCCGGGCACCTCTCGGACACCCCCTCTGGCTCCCGGGGTTCCAGCCCTCCCTCAGCGGAGGGTGAGAGGCCCAAGCCCCACAGTCCACAGCCAGGGACCCGCCAACCCACTCGATGCAGACACACTCACGGACACCAGGTGGCGCTCTAAGCCTGCGCCTCTGGGCCCCGCTAGGAATTAACTGGGGGTGGGACCGGGTGGGGGTCCCTGACTCAGCTCCCCACATTGGGGCAGGGCCGGCCCCGGTGCCTCCCAGGCTGCAGCTCTGGGCTCCAGATCGCCCTCCCCGTGGCCGGTCACTGCAGGTCCCGTCTGCAGCACCTGAGGGTCAGGGCGACCCCTGGCTCGGCCCGTCTCCCTCCTCCCGCCGCCCCTCAGCGAGATGCTCTCCCCAGGGCCCACGTCCGCCGAGGCCCCGGGTCAGGCGGGAATTTGTCTCAGCAGAAACCCGTGATTTGCCCGGCGAGGGGCTGTGGCTCCCTGGCCAGCCCCCGGTGGACACCCCTTTGGCCCCTGTGCCCTTCACTGCAGCCTCCAGGGTGCTGCGCCCCACAGGACCCAATGTCAGGCCAACAGGAACCTGGACACTCACAGAGGGGACTGACTGGGACACCATCAGGGAAACCGAGGCACGCAGGAAGGAACGGACGGAGAAATGGGTGAATGGACCGTGAACAAACGAAACGAATGAGCCCGTGACGAAGGGACAGAGGAGGAGACAAACGGGATGAGTGAGGACAGGTGATCCCTGGGGCCCATGCCCTTGGGGTCCCAGGGGTTTGGTGCTCTGCAGCTGCCAGGCCTGGGGCGGCCTCCTCCTCAGGGAAGCCTCCCCGGGGCTCGGCCCACACTGTCACTGCTTTCCCGGGAGGCAGCGCAGGCAGACCCCCACCCGGGATCCCCGGCCCAGTGGGGGCTTCAGGAGCCCCAGCCACGCCTGAGAGCCGCGTCCAGAGTCCCTGAGGTGACAGCAGACGGTATCAGGGTCGGGGCTGGCCCCTCACCAGCAGCTGAGTCTGGCCCCGCTGGCCCAGGAGGTGGCTGGATCGTGGCAGACCCGGCCTCAGTTTCCCCCCGTCATGGAGACCCTCATTCCTCGGACCCCTCACCCCTCGCCCCTCACCTCTAACCTCTCACCCCTCACCTTGGCGGCTCCAGCCTCCAACCCCGTTTTCACCCCTCACTGGGCACTCCCGGGCCGTGCGGCCCCGAACCCCCAGCCGTGTCCCCTGTGACCCTGAGGGCAAGGCCAGCTGGGGCCCCAGGAACCCGGCCCAGCCACCGCTCTCTCCGCCTGGCGTTCGCAAGCCCCAGGGCCTGCGGTGGGGGTCCCGGCTCTGACGGGGTCGCTGTGCCTTGGTGCTCTGCGTGTTCGGGGGGGGGGACAGGCCCCCGAAGCAGCCGGGCTTAGGACGGGCTTGGACGGGCCCTCCCATCCCCCAGCCTGGGCCGGCACAGGCTCCCGGGGGTTGGGGTACCGGCCCCCCGGAACCCTCCCCTGGGCCCTGGCACATGCCTGGGAATCTCCCACCGGGAGCCCTCAAGCGGCCCCTTCAGCGCCGCCCCCGCCCAGCTGCCCGGCTCCTGGGGTCACTGCAGGGCCCCCCCAACCCTCCCCACCCGCCCCCGACTGGGGGTAGACACCAACCCCTCACTGCACTCGGAGCCCCCGTGCTCCCCGGACTAGGGCCCGCTGCTGTGACTCGGCCCTGGGGTGACTGGCTCGGCTCTCCAGTCCCCTACCCACACCCCTGCGTCCCTGCACACACACCCCTGCTCCCCTCACCCACACCCCTCGGTCCCTCCACCCCACACTCCTGTGCCCCTCACCCCACGTTTGCTCCCCTCACCCACACCCCTGCATCTCTCCACCCCACACCCCTGCTCCCCTCCACCCCACGCCCCTGCGTCCTTCCGCCCCATCCCCTGCTCCCCACCACCCTGCCCCCTGCTCTCCTCACCCCACACCCTGTGCCCCTCACCCCACGTTTGCTCCCCCACCCCACCCCTTGCTCCCTCCACCCCACACCCCGCTGATGCCACGCCCTGTGCTGCGTGTTGAGCGCGTGGCCGTGGCGCCTCTTTCTGGGGGAGGCGTCTGAGCCACACAGATTCGGGGAAGGTGCGCGGCCACTCGCGGGCCGGCTCTGGACTTTGGTAGAGGACAGCGAGGGGGGCCCGAGTTGTGCCGGGCACCAGGCGGGCAGGGGCTGGGACTCGGAGGGCCCCAGCTTCTTGGCCTCGCCCCTCCGTGAGCATCCCCGGGTCTGAGACCCCCAAGGCGGCTGGGGCTGACTTGGTCTCCCCTGCCCCCTCCCTAGAGAGGGGACCCCCGCGGCCCCTCCCAGCCAGAGCAGCTCGGGACCCTCAGGCCCCCACGGGCTCCCCGGTGAGTGTGCAGACCCGGGCCCCAGGGCCCCCACGCCAGCCCTGTGCACAGCATGAGCTGGAGCTGGACCCTAGTGGACCCCAGTTGGGGCTGGTCGGCACCAAGCCTGCGGCGGCCGGTGGACCGGAGCAGGAGGCAAGGGGGGCGCACGCTGCCGCTTGCAGTGGGGACCCCGACCTCGGAGACGCGTCCCTGAGCCCCCTCCCTCCACGCGGATCCCCCCTCCACGGCCGTGTGTCCCTCTGTCCAGGGGCCGGGCCTGGACCTCTGCCAGGAAAGGGCCGCAGAGAAGATGCGGGGAGGATGGGGGCGGGGCCACGGGAGACCAGGGTGGGCGGGGCCACGGGACCAAAGGTGGGCGGGGCCACGGGAGACCAGAGTGGGCGGGGCCACGGGAGCAAGTGGTGGGCGGGGCCACCGGA